GTCAATTACAAGTTCAAAAATCCTTTAATACAAATACTGTACATTTGTACAGTTTTGTATGTGCCCGGTTCTTTTAAAGTCCTTTATATACACAGTCATTATTACCCTGTTTATACACTTTGACACCTGTTTTGCACACTCTTTAGACCGGTATTTATATTCAACTTTAAGTTAAAACTAGACTTTAAATTACTTTTACTCGTATAACACACTGTGAGTGTACTGGTAGATGAAAATAATGATAATTTATCAGTTGTTTGTCCCATATATAGGTAAATGAGTACATTTTGCTCCGACATTAGTTCATTGTAATATAATTGACAATAAAAAAATAATATTTTATTGATAAGTTTTCACGAATAATTTTATAGCTTATATTATGTCAAATAATTTTATTATGTAATATATTGGTCGTAATATCATTGGAAACTATTATGTGCTATAAATATGAATTTAAAAACTAAAATTACATTTCTATTGCTGTAATAGCAATGAAAAATATAATCCTAAAGCAAACAAAACACCACTTAATATTGAAAATTCTGTATATTTTATATAATTTAATAAAAAAATTCATTCACTTTATAAGTTATTGAACTTAAATTACACAATAGCTGTTAACATGCAACTTATATATTATATACATTGTGTGCGAAACTAGTGTTTTTGAATAATTTAATAAAAATGACTCTTTTAGCACATAATTTTCATATTAATTATTTAAGTAGAAAACACTAAACCTCTTAATTAAATTTCAAATACAGATATCATACTACTATACATAACAAATGCTCATTAAGTGCTTATCACAAACAATTTGTTATTATTCTGTGTAATAAACTTATCTATATCAAAAACTTTATTACGAAATCAATCAAATAATTCAATGTTAATGTAAATAGCGATACAATAATTGTGTGGGAATTGCACTCATATTAAATAGTTTTATATATGAAATAATAATAATAATAATAATAATAATAATCTCAACAAATAGTTAATAATAATCATATTTGAAATTCACATGAAAACGCGATTATATTTATGTCAAACTTATAATTTTCATGTCAATCACAAGCATATGTTTTTGAAATATAATAAATATAATGACATTTTTGTGTAAATATATTTTCAATGCATGCTACATATAATTATCAACAATTTCGTATGCATAGTATTAATACTAAAATGCATTTTTATTAAAATCCCAATTCTTAACAGAATATTCTGTACAACATTTTCATATCAATGCTAATCAATAGATGGCATAAACGATAACACGATTTAATCGCACAAATTAATGCCGTAATTATCGGCGCTGTCCACACACATCGTTACAATTAATTAGCGAGAGAGCCGTCATAAATAAAACATTAAAATCGCAAATAATTTATAATACATTTTCATACAAACATAGAAATGACAGAATCGTAACGGCATTTGCGAGCGGCCCTCATAAGGATTACAATTAATTAGCGAGAGAGCCGTCATAAATAAAACATTAAAATCGCAAATAATTTATAATACATTTTCATACAAACATAGAAATGACAGAATCGTAACGGCATTTGCGAGCGGCCCTCATAAGGATAACTGTGACAAAATGATTCAATACTGACGTCACCGCACAGTTGGTGTGTGGAGTGTATGGGCACATCACGTGACCACTGGTGTACTCCACCTCTGAGAGTGTATGCAATGCAGTGGCAAAGCGCTCGCAATGAATCGATATATGAATGGGTGTATAGACTGTAGCCGTAGTACAACACTATGTGTTAGCGTACGGCCAGTCAGTGTGCGAGTACTGACTCTACGGAAACACACAGTTATTATGCAATTGAGTCGATAGGGTTCGGAGTGTATGAGTGAGTGGTGAGAGTGCAGTACACCGGGAGTAGACCGTACTGTCAGTGTATAGGCGTTTGGCGGAGAGGGTTAGGAGAGTGAACGGGAGAGTACGGGCGGGAGTGGTGTGTATATACAGTGTTGGTGTGTGTGTGTGAGTGAGTGTGTGAGTGAGTCTGTGAGTGAGTCTCAGCAGTGTTTGAGCCAAACATACACACAGTGGTAGTGGAGTACAGTCTGTATGCTATGTGTATAGCTGTGCATAGACTCTATGCCATAGAGTGAGTGAATACATTGCAGTGAAACATGCATTCAATGGGTCTCACAATTAGGCGTTAAATGTGCGGACAATTGATACACACGTTGTTGAGGCCGCTAATTGTCACCCGAACTGATCCGACCAGAGGTGCACCGCATCCGTGAGTCGCCCACCATCACCACCCACTCATCGGTCGCAGTGTGTCTGTCCCTACCGTTGCCATAATCCGCGAGTTCTTCGCCAGCGATGTCTAAACGCAGAAAATGTCTCTAATTGTGAGCCAAACGTACAATCATTTTGACGATTATCTGCATTTGTGTTCACTATTGCGACCCGTATTACACTCAACGCATACACCACTGCACTGGTGACCAGTATTGCCACTCGACCTCGAGAGTTACCACTCAATCACTTGTATTATCCATAAACCCATTCAATGACTGCAAACACTTGCGCCAATTGGGAGACCCATTGCCACCGACTTTGATGACCGCCTAATCCGATGGTGATTATTGGCCAGCGATTGACTGTATTATAGTTATCGGTGAAGGTTTACACTCACCGACTAAGACAGCCGTTAAAGTGTTGAGTGAATCCCAGTGTTTGCGCGACCATTGGTTGCCGTTTGCGTGCGATTTGATTGCCTGATTGGTCGCCGAAGACCGGACACCACCTCTACGGACATCACTCGCAGAAGTGGTCGACGACTGCCGCAGTCATGACTAAAGACAGATTAGCAGCGCTTAAAGCCGTAATCAATTTATCCGCTCGTTTACCACTCATTGATTGCCTATTAATCCATTTGTTTACCTCTTTGACGGATCCGTTGGCGATCTTAGGCTCAGGCGGACGACGACGATGTGGCCGTCGGTGTCGATGAAAGGGGCGGTTATATGGAAGAGTTCTTCCAAGAAGTAAATCTCGCATTTGTTGACCACTGCTGTGACACCCAATGCGCTAATGATTATTATCTCCCGACTCACAGGTGGAACAGATTCGCGAAAACATCGAAAAAATGCAAACAAATGTCGAAGAAGTGAAGAAAATTCATTCGGCGATATTAAGTGCTCCACAAACTGACGACAGTATGTCTTCGGCACCCTCTCCCTGTCCACCAACTCATGAGTTCTGAATCTAAATATTTGTTTTTCTCCGATTGTCTGAACAGAAGTGAAACAACAATTAGAAGATCTGATGGCAGACATCAAGAGAACAGCCAATAGAGTGAGAGGGAAATTAAAAGGTTTTTATCGGATTATCCCTAAGAATGGGACCATTTGTGTGATAATTGATGACTAATTGGTGACATTGTCGCCCATATGATAGTAATGGAGCAGAACATAGAGCAATTGGAACAGACATCGATGATGAGCGCCGACTTCCGGATCAGAAAAACACAGCAATCGATGTTATCGCAAAAGTTCGTGGAAGTGATGACCGATTATAATAAGACACAAACAGACTATAGGGAGAGATGTAAAGCACGGATCCAACGACAGCTCGAAATCAGTGAGCATTTGAATTGATTATTATTAGCGCTCGCGAGAGGAATGGCGTGAACTAACTGTCCGTTTCAATAGCCGGTCGCTCGACGACTAACGAGGAACTGGAGGAGATGTTAGAGAGTGGAAACCCCGCCATATTTACTCAAGGAGTGAGTGATCTCTACTGAACCAGCGATTGACCGGTCGATTGGATGACAATAATTGTGTGTTTCATGTGATCGACAGATAATGACGGACACACAGCAGGCGAAGCAGACACTGGCCGACATCGAGGCCAGACATGCGGACATCATTAAGCTGGAGAACAGCATACGAGAGCTGCACGACATGTTCATGGATATGGCGATGTTGGTCGAGAGTCAGGTAAACATCACCACAAGTTCTTGTGGCCAAACAAATCATTACTTACTCCATGTGTTAAACCGTTGTATTTGTTTTTGTGTTTCACTTTTTGCTGCTTTTTCTCTCTATTCAATTGCTTTCTGTGTTTTTCTTTTTGTTGATTACTTTTTTGCTTTACTTTTAATTGGTTTCTGGTTTTCTCTCACATTTTACATCCAATAATCTCTGTTGAAAACATATTTCATAAACTCTTTTCATTATTAACCAAAAAGAGTGTTTCAAAGTTTATTGAATGCACTGAACCATTGCTTCACCAAAATATCTCATCGTTTACTCCAATTTACTCATTAATTATTAACATTTGTTAACAAAAGCCAATATTCAATGTCTTACTGTCCGGCTCTTAACGTTTGTCTCTGAATGGGTTTACCGTCTCTTTTTTAACCGCAATTCTCTCTTTTAAAACCGCAAAACATTGTTTATAAAACCGCAAACTCGTGTGTTCTGTCAGTTAAGGCTTTCATATATAGCTCAATGATACTAATTGTGATCATAACGTGAAATGTTTGTACGAACCGACACTATAGGGAGAAATGATAGACCGCATCGAGTATCACGTGGAACACGCGCGTGAGTACATCGAAACTGCCAAACAGGACACCAAAAAGGCGCGTGAGTTTCAACGCAAGTCTAGACGAGTGAGTAGTGCTTTTTGGGTTGCATTTGCCGTATCGATAGGTATTGCATGTGATTAATGATCGTTACATTTGACATTTGCTTTATGCATATATCAACTATTGGTGTATAGAAACTAATTGTCTGTTTTTCTCGATTTCTCACCACAGAAACAAATACTGATAATAATATGTCTAATAATTTTGGTCATTGTTCTCCTGAGTGTCATCGGCGGTGTTTTAGGATTTTAGTGATTATTGTTATTATGATTATATGAGTTGACATTTCGCACGACTTTTTAACGAATTGATAGCCAATTCTTTTATATTCACCGAATTTTTCTTATTTACCGCTAAATTTGCATTTTATGTCGAAATACAAGCCATTCAACGAACTTCTTGGTGTGAATCTCTTGAATATATTTTGTCTGTTTTGGACGCGATTACTGAACACTCGGTTGGCGACCACTCTATTGATACGAATTTTGATGTTATTTATTGGAAATACGCGATGAAAATGAGTGGCAAATGTGATAAACTAACAAAAAACATGTTATTCTCTCAAAGCCTTAACAAAACACTGCACTTCTTAAGCCAATTGATTAGAAAACCAAAACAATTTGAAAGTATTGCCGAAAAAGTATCGAAAAATGAATTGCAATTGCATTCCAAGCGCTCATTACACGTCGAGACAGACGTCTGACTATTTATTATTGTTTTTATTCATCACAAAGATCTCGTTATAATATATCAAAACTCTAGTCATTTTTATTTATTTAATTCTCATTTTTAATTGATTTGTTGCCTATTTTACTGTTAATTTATTATTAATCTCAACATAAAGCCTCTTATTATGACTGTATTATTATTATTTAAGTTTTTTATTTGTATTTTAAATTATTTCTCAATTGATTTGTTAAATGTATTCTTGAAAAACACACACAAAATGTTGTGAACATTATTCACACGACTCTAGACATTGAATTATTTTATCGTCAATATTAGGGCGAAATGATCGACAGAATTGAATTTCATGTGTCGAGTGCTCTCGAGTACGTCGAGGAAGCCGTGAAAGACACTAAAAAAGCGATGGAATACCAGCGGAAGGCCCGAAGGGTATGTCGTCTTATCTCCCACTCTCTCTCTCCCACTATACCACTCTTGATGCCAAATAAACAAAGTGTTGGTTATATATGACTTAAAAATTGATTTCTTTTTCTCCCATTTCTCGCCCGCAATACAGAAGCAAATAATGATTTTAATTTGTCTCATAATATTGGGATTCGTGATCATCTCAATAGTGGGAGGAATGGTCGGCTTTTAGCGCTTGGATTTTGTTTATTACAATTACACGACTATTACTATTATTATATAATATATAAATATATAAATATTATTAAGAAGTGAAAAATACGAGTGACATTCAAACCGATGCGTTTACACCCGACCACCACATCGACAACAACAACACCGGTGTGTCTCTCAAACTACTCATCATTTTTAAACCACACGTAAAACGCGGTTTGGATTTCATTCTCTTCTTTGACTCTAAGACTAATCGTTTTAATGGACAGAGAAATCGATTTCTATATACAATAATAAACAACTTTTGCTTTCTTTCTCTCTTTGAGATCTCTCTCTCTCTCTCTCTCTCTCTCCTATGTTATACACACAATACAATTGTGATCTAATTTGAGAAAACGCTTTGACATACAGTTTAGTCGCTTTAACTATTATTTCCAATTGATGTGCTGGTGCTATAAGAATCATAAGAATCGACATCTCTTTATACACGTTAGTTACATTGATAATACAAAATACGATATAAGCATACGATTAATGATATGATATTAGAGTGAAATCAATACTAAAACTTAATTAATAACTATTGCCTCGACAAACGAAACAATATATTTCGAGTTTTTCAAATTTAATTGTCATTTTAATTATAGATAATAAATATTCTTAGGCAAAATGTAATCTAAAAACAAAAGTTTACTCCACTTTTTGATTAAATTATTCAAAATTATTACACTTTTAACGATACTTATTAAGCAAACAAAAAATTGCCCCCTTTTTAAGAAACCCCCAGTTATTGCCAATCAATAGCAACAAAATATATTTATTAATTTTCTCAGACACTACTCTATGGGGAAAAGGATCTCTAATTTTTGCAAATAATAAGATTCAAACATTTGCAATCAAATTGACGATTACATTAAAACGATAAGTTATATACAAAACACGAATAAAATCACAGAATTTCAAATTCTTGAGATTAAAACATGGGATTAAAACATATTGAGCTCTTATATCAAACAACTCTTTTTGTGTTCAAACTCCTCTATACACCTAAGGACTGATCCCTTAGTTTCCATATTATATTACATAACAACTACTCATTTATTCTCCAAAGAATTATTTATTTGCATTAATTTTCTTATATTTATTTTATAATTGTTTTAATGTTTGTTTGTAAGCCTAAGGAAAGTCTATAGGAATGAAGATTTAGCAGATTATTATTATTAAGTTTCTAATCATTTTACTGTACATTTTGTGAGAGCCGTATAATTTAAGCCAAATGTTGATGTTTTATTAAATTAGAGTCTTATTTATTTGATGGGATAATCAAAGCAAAAATTGGGAACATTTTACGATAAATAAAGCATTGAAATTACACATTAAATTTGCATTTCAAACATACAGACCATTGACTGGCCATTCTCTACCGATATATTCCCGGATTATATACATTTGAAAATCCTTACAATAGTTGCACAAATGAATAGCCAGTCAATGGGTCGGTGACCATAAGTGGCAATGAATGGCAATGGCATTACATTATAATATGCATAGAACTAAAAGGCTCTGGGCAATTATTATATAAATGACAATTATATATATTATGATATAAAAGGGGAGGTTAGTGACTGGAAAAGGGGTCCGGCATGTTGTACACACCGGCGACTGTTATGTTTGTCACACGAATTCAAATGACAAAACTCAGCGCCGATCTCAATGTGTGGCCGCAATTCAAGTGAAATAAATTCAATACATTTATTTGACTCACACTATAATATATACTGTATTATACTATAATTAAATACCAATGAATTTGTATATCTTTCTACCCGTTATAATCACTGGGAGTCCGCAATCCGTGAGCTCATATACTATAGACATACAGAATATTCTGTACATTCCGTACACCACATTATATGACACGCGTATACATCTCGAAATACATACACATATACACACACTTAACTCACCAGAATAGTTGACATAAGAAATTATTTTATTATATAATAAATTACTGTTTGGAAACAAACTGTTATTAATATGCAATAAATTTGATTGCCTATCGATTAGTGATTTGCTTTTTTGGACTAAAAACTAAACATAACATTATAAGAGAAGTTATTATGAAAAGTTAAATAACTAATAAAATTAATTATTCAATTCGTGAGGGGAGACACACACGCAATGATAAAATGCATGATATATATTACAAGTTGTAAATAAATATTTGATTATATTATATATAATATATAAATATGGTTACGATTACGAGAGGGACGACAAAAGTGTTCAACAAAACAATAAATATGCTCTAAATGTATGTCTCATTGCTTTGTGTAGAAATGTATTTTCAAATCATTGGTATGACATTAATATGCAGTATATCTACTGTATTAACAAAACAATACAAAAAACAAAACTCTCTTTCATAGCGATTGTGAGATCACATCATAGACTATATATTCAATTAAAAATAAGAATTTTGAAATATATATATAAATATATAATTATATATAATAAGACAAATACTGTATAACAAAAAACTTATAAAAAGAAATTTGAAAAAATTATAATTACACTTAATAAGAATTAAACTTTTAATTATATATATATAATATAATAGTGTTTAACAATTATTATATTTATGATTATTATTATAAATACTGTTCATATAATTAAGACTATAAATAATTCAAATGACAACTTTTGCCTCATTTTGATTATATAAGAAAAACTTTAATACCCATTAACTTCCAAACAACAAATCATTTTAAGAAATCAATTATTAATTGTTATCACATTTTAGTTCTTAAATTAAAAAACAGAAATAAAAATGAATTTTTGAAAATAAAACACTTTTTTCTCAATAAATCGCTTCAAAACACACGTCAACTCAAAAGGTATGTAACGCACGAATATTCTGTACGTATTTTTGGTCAAAATATACCCAATTCTTGACTCACAAAATAAATACCAATTTATTTAAAGCGAAAACATAACAAATATTCTGTTCATAGAAACTGGTATTCATAGTAATGGCAACAAAAAGTTATGAAACAATTTTTTGCTGCTATATATAGCCTACTTTAGCACTGCATGCATAACACACTTATCTCAACAGTTAATTAATAACAGTGTAAACAATTGGCATAATTATAATCGCAAAAAAGTTTTATGATTTATTACAACTGATTTCAACACAACATTACTATTTCTCGCACAACATATGCATTGATTAGTCATCTCTTGCGTTACACTCAATGCAAAAGTCCATTGAATGCCTCATACAATAGGCATATCATAGGGGGAAAGGCGTCGCTGGCACTGGTAGGCAAACACTACAACCGTTTTCACACAAACACCTAAATATGTCCACTTGTTAACTGTTATTATTTAGTATCAGGTTCATTTGTTTTGCCCATTTATTATTTATTTCACCATTAAGTTCAATACACAAGTGTTTGGTGTCTCTCTCCATAGCATTGAACACTAAAAAACTTGTTTTCAATTTGTGTCTCATTTTTATAATCGGTTTTTGAGTTTTCAAAACACAAACACATATTCGTGTCCATCGAGTGGTGATCACTGCTTAAGAAGTTATGGTTAAGGATCGGCTACAAGAGCTCAGACAAGTATGTATTATCACCGCATATACTGATCCATAGACTTATGTCTTGTGTCCACCTCTTAGGCACAGATGGACGACGATAACCACGTGGTGATCATCACCGAGAATACATCCCTTCGTAACTCAATGGATGTCTTTTTCCAAGAGGTATGCCATTTATGGGACACTGTTTTGCCACTCATTAATTAACATATTGTCTGTTGACCCACAGGTGGAACAGATCCGCCAAAGTCTTGACAAAATGGAGGCTAACGTGAAAGAAGTGGACAAAATTCATTCAACTATTTTAAGTTCACCACAAAATGATGACAGTATGTGTCCTCCAGCTGTCCGTCCACTCAATTGTCTTAATCTCATTACTCTCTCATTATCTTCGCCACAGAACTGAAGCAACAATTAGAAGATCTGATGGCAGACATCAAGAGAACCGCTCAAAGGGTGCGAACAAACTTAAAAGGTATTCATCTGTCTTCGGCCTCAAGAAGTTGTTTATCACTTCATGTGTTCAACTGAATTAAGTGGTGTTTATGTGTCACCGAAACTAATCCATGTGTTGTGTCAGCAATAGAGCAAAACATAGAGTACTTGGAAAAGATGTCTAACGCCAGCGCCGACTTCAGGATCAGGAAAATACAGCACTCGATGTTACTCCAGAAGTTTATCGAAGTGATGACCGAATATAATACCACACAAACGGACTATAGGGAGAGGTGTAAAAATCGGATTCAAAGGCAACTAGAAATCAGTGAGCAATTGATCCCAACTTCCTATGCTCTGCGATACTAACCATATGTTTGCCTCCGGAACAGCTGGTCGTCAGACAACTGACAAAGAACTGGAGGACATGTTAGAGAGTGGCAACCTAACCATCTTTACACAAGGAGTGCGTAACCATTGCTTAACTAATTGTCTTAATCAGTAAAATACTACTTGTTTTGGTGCTAACATTGCGTTGATCTGATCCAACAGATCATTACAGACACACAACAAGCGAAACAGTCGTTGGCGGACATCGAGGCCAGACATGCGGACATCATTAAACTCGAGAACAGTATCCGCGAAATGCACGACATGTTTATGGATATGGCGCTCCTTATCGAGAACCAGGTATTTATGACTAATTCACTGATTATTATCTCATTTTATGGTACTTTTCGAGTGTATTAAACGCTATATTCGTGTCTTTTTAAAGGGAGAGATAATCGACAGAATCGAGACTCAAGTGATTCAGTCGAAAGAGTACGTCGAAGACGGCAAGAAGGAGACCGTCAAAGCACTGGCCTATCAGTCAAAGTCTCGACGGGTTTGTGACAAATCTGACAATTATTTTCCCATTATTTTTGCACAATTAGCGGTCATTAAGATTAAACTAAATACTAATCCATTGAATGATTTCCGCAGCGATTTTAGTTGCCTTTCACTGTTTTAATTGAATGCCCGGCCCTTTGGTTTGATCTTATATTTTGACCGAAATTTTGTTATTTCATTTCACAAAATGCATGACTTTTTAGACGATTTTTACTTTATTTTTCACAATTCTAGACCAAAATTATTATATTCATTATATTGGGTCTGATAGCGGCCGGTCTCATCACATGGGGAATCATAGCCGCCACGTAGGTCTCTGTCTACTACTGCCCCCAAAACAGTCAGTCCTACTACTCCTACAACTCTTCGTTGCAATTGTCTCTTATATTCTGTTTATATTCTGCAAAGTCTTTGGAACCCATTCTTGTGCTTAAACTAGTCGTCTATTATGTGATTGCATCCAATAATCGCTTATATTTTGTAATCGGTTTATCAAAAATGTTTGCCTTTTAGCTATTGTTTTAGTAGATTGTGTCGGCTTTTACTGTATATCCCATTGTGTTTATGTGTCAATCAATGAATCCCCGGAATATACATTAACTGTTACTTATGTTTACAACATGAACACACACTTTACTACTTGTATTGATTGATTGATTTTTATTTGCAGAAAAAAATAATTATTATGATTTGTTTAAGCGTTTTGGTTGTCTTCATATGCTCGTCAGTAATAAGTGTTATATTCTCTAATTAATGTCTTATAGACTAAGTTATAGTTTTGTTATATATTTTCAAATACCAAAATGAACTTGATACTTACCTATATCTGTATATTTTGAAAGTCAAAGTGAGTCACAAAAATGATTGTACACATATTTTTATTACTATCAATATTAATGAATGTATAGTTCGCTAACAAATGCAACATTTATTATCTAATAATTATCTATTTATATAACATATCAATACATTTGTGATGACTCGTGCCTTACATATGAAAGTCAATTGATTTTACAAATTATAAGTTATTCCCATTGTCTTCAACGTTATTATACAATGCGTGAGACAATTGAGCACTTTTTGTAAGTTTTTATTACAACTAAAACAACTAATTGTTATACATTTTAGTATTTTTAACACCAATTTTAGTAAATTATTTATTTTTTGTAAAATAAAGTTCAAGAGAATAAATTTAAGATTAGTTTATAATGTGGTTTCAATTCAATCAGATTTGTAGCCCTTTGCCATCCATTCGTACAGACCATCGATGTATTGGTCTTTTAGTTGAAGAGTCTTCGCGCGGATCTCTTCCAACTTTTTTAATTGCAAATTCTCAGCCCGAATGGACGCCAACTCAAGTCTTAGCTTCTTGTTGTCCTCCTGAGCGTCTTGACCACCTCTTCAGCGGGCGGTTCCTTATTATCCGAGGCATCGGTGCCATTGAAAACGCACTTCAGTTTTGAATCCATGATCGCTTCCGGATCGACACCTTTCCAGATGGTCTGGTTGTTGACCTCACCGTCCGGAGCGAACATTGTCTGTACAAAAAAACTAGAGGTAAGCATCGGATCCGGACTCATATAACCATCAATTTGCTCACCTCTACAACAAACCAGTCGTCCAAACGAACCGGTAGTCTCCGCACATCTATGGTTGTGATAATGAACGGCTCGATGAGTCCAGTGTTAGACATCACGACATACTTCGCCGGCTCTGTTCACTTCAACTTATAGCACACCCGACGTCGGTCGGATTAAACAGCTTAAGGTAAGCTATGATCGCAGCCGAGGATACCTTTTCCTTGAAGTGGGTTTCAGCACTAGGATCTGCTTTGATGTGGACATTGTCTGCGATGTTGGTGTCAATTGGACTCAAATGTACAGTCAGTCAGTGTCTCAATTNTTCATAATATTGGATCAAATGTCATAAATGTAATCAATCGTTATATAAAAGACCAAAAATTCATTGATTTGTATATAATATTTCACTTTTCAATAGAAACACTTGAATTACACGTACTTTTGTTTTAAAGAGGTTCAGTAAAAATTTGTATCATCTTTTTGTAAGTCTATGTGGTGTACAATATATATGTATAGTCAGTAAATTTTTGTAATTATTTTCATTTCAATAAAGCACAGTTAAATACCAGTAAAATACGATTAAATATATACTTTTAAAACTTTATTTCAACTCTCTTTCCATATATAATATAATTGATAATTATTTTTATATTATATTTCTCGAGCATTTGTGTTAGTCTTCCCAAACCATTCAATATATCCATTCATTTAAATTCATTTGCATTGATATAAACTCTAATCCTGTATCCATTCCTGTAAAGACTACCTGTCCATTATATAAATCCATTTCCAATTATAACCAATTCATACTTCAATAGTTAAGCAAATATTTTCTGTACTAAAACATTCAAAAATCCTTTGTTTGCTGCAATTGATGCCATTTTATAAACATACAAATTTCATCTATTTAGTACCAAAACTTTATTTTGTTAATTAGTAAAAATGTGTGAAAAATAAACATATTAAACCTATTTTCTCATTCAAAATATATAATTATGATTACGCAAAATAATTTTTACAAAAATCATTAAACTTTTATTATATACTTTCTCTCAATGTTACTGATTATTAAACTTTCAAAAGATTTAAACAAAAATTAATTTAAACAAAAAATTAAATTAAAAATCAACTGAAAATAACAACATGCACATTTATTGTATCAGATTTCTGTCTCAAATTGAGTTCACATAATAAAAGCCACACAATTGATGGACAAATAGTGTTACTAATAAAATAGCTATTATTACGGAGCTATCCCTCATGAGAATAGGGAACGGGAGTTATATAACAAAATATTGTCAATAATAATAATAACATTCCTATAGATTAGGTGACAAAGAAAGTGGAGATTATTATAAAGAATAACAAAATCTATTATTTAGGCATTTATTGCAATTTAAGACAAATTAAGTCAAATATTACAGTAAATTCACGTTAATGTGGAAGTGCTCTGAATTAAATTTGTTCATTCATTCACAAACATATTTATATGTAGTGAAAATCATTAATAATAATATTCTCCCCCTCCGTGTATTAATAATATTCTACTCATTATAATAATTAAAAATACCAAAAATTTAATATTTCAATCATTAATATAGTGGAGATCTTCATTAATCATTAAAAACATCATTTATTTTTGTTGCTGAGATTTTTTGTTAGTATAATACTTTTAATATAGTTTATTTTGAACTTTTTTATACTTAACGATGAATTTACTGTAATATTTACTTATTGAAATTTATTTATTATTATTTAGCATATAAATAAAGAGGCGATTAGGATAGGGATAGCTAGAGTGGGGGAATGGGATGGGTATTAGAATTTTTTGTGTGGATAACTGTAATAAAAGTCGAAATATATTTTTTTAAACTGTTATTTATAGACATGTTTTCGGTGGATATTATTACATGTATTGTATTAAATATTATTGCTTTTAGAAATATTATATTAGGAAATAAAATATATTCTTTGGGGTTGGAGTTAAATAAAAAATGTTTTGCAACTCTCCCTATCCCTTAGCAATTGTCTTATGCCTCCCATTGTGTTCATTGGTATCGATTAACATAAATATTTGGTGTTTTAGGTCCCCTTCCCAGCGGTCTTAATATAAGATNTAAATATTTGGTGTTTTAGGTCCCCTTCCCAGCGGTCTTAATATAAGATTTTGTACCAAAAAATATATTTATATTTATTGCAATTCTGTTGTCATTCTGTAATAGTTTATCGTAAATAACATATGAAAACAAAGGAGAAATAAATTTTGAATTTTTAACTGATTTCTGCATTAAACTGTTTGAGACATTAAAATAAGGAGTCGGGAGTGATATAGGGGACAGGGATTCCGTTTCTATAAATTGTTTTTATAGCAATTTATGTCTATGCAGACAACACATTTAATAATTCATAGCAATGTTATTATTGTTGGATATATCGGTTTTATATAAATTTAATAATAATAATAAATTTAATGATAAAAATAAAAATTTGATATAAATTTAGTCAAAAACAGTTTTAAAAAAATTGTTGTTCAGACAGAAATCTGATCGCAAAAAATATTTGTTATTTTCAGCAAATTTAATTTAAAATTTATAATTATTAAATGAATGAGAAAAATATTTTTAAATTCAATTCAATAATAATTTTTATAAGGTTTGAGAAAAACATTTCCGAAAGAGATATCGAGAATGTGTTTTGTAATCAAATAATAGTCAAAATAAAAAACAAAACAGTCGAAAGTGTGTTTTTGTTGCAAAAATATAAATATTTATATAATAAGAGAGTTATAATCATGTAATAAATGTAATCAAATAAATACAAATAGTGTTATCCAAAGCTGTGTGTTTCATAAATAATAGTTAAACTTTTTTTAATCACTACAGTACCTACAAAAAAATTGTTTTCACTTTCAACTAATACAATTCAAGTGTATATTATACTGACTACAGTATCAAAAAACACAGGTTTAGGCAAACATTGAGAGAGAGAATAGATTCTTCATTTGCGGGGAAAACTTAACACAAAATAACTAAAAAACTTTTTATTTTTTATTTTTTTCCAATTTTTTTCAGGTGTGCGCGTGAATAGAGAGAAAAGAAATTTATCCATTGTTTTGTCCATTTGTTTGATTGCTTTTTCCGTTCGCATGTTTAGTCATTATATTAGAAGTTATATGTAATTATAATTATCATATCAATTGGTGGACAATCTGTATGGTCTTATTATACTCTGTTGTTTTGCATTATTGTAAAAAGTCTTTTGCGTGTGTATTGTCTGAATTGAACAGTCGGTATGTGTCGGTCAAAAGTGTCTGTGTCAGTCAGTCTGTCTGTAATGTCTGGGGTGTATGTGTATGGTGTGTATACCTAACTGTCCAATGGTGGTAGTTACTCACATTGAACGTATATTGAACAGTCGGTATGTGTCCGTCAAAAGTGTCTGTGTTAGTCAGTCTGTCTGTAATGTCTGGGGTGTATGTGTATGGTGTGTATACCTAACTGTCCAATGGTGGTAGTTACTCACATTGAACGTAGGTGTGGACCAGGGGTTTGATGAAGTGATGGTCAACGATACCGCAATGACTGCACGGCATTGAATGGCTGTAATCACTAAAGAAGTCCATTCGCCGTTCGGGAGGTATAACCAGATGCTGGCAATTGTTGCACCGGAGCCGCTCTGGACAACAGGGGACGGCCGCGAAGATGTCATACGAATACATGGAACCCAATATCAGATGAGATCCGTTCCATCGCACGCGACATGACTTGCAGTGGAGCGTACGGTTCCAACCTACCGGTGCCCACAAACACACAGGGATTAGCTCTTGGTCATTATATCCATAAAAACCTATCTCTAGTCGTGTGATTAGTCTATGCATTCAGTTGTAGTGAATATTATTTATAGATTTTTATGTAACTTCCAGATAATTAGCACATGCTATCAATTAGTCTACATTTAATTGTCATAAAATTTATGGCATTAATATGCGATAAACAATAATTTGAATCCTTTTCGCAGCGATTAATTGGTAAACAAACACAAAAAATATGAGCAATTAATGATTGTTTTCGCATTATACCATTAGTTCAAAAGTTAAATGCAATAAAATTTGTATTTTGAACTACAAAATAGGAGTCTATAAATTATACATCTATAATTATATTCAGTTATAAATAATAAATAATCAAATGATATGAATATAAAAAAAAGTTTCGTCTCGTGTTTGCAAACAACACGATAGCACCTAATAATGTATTCATCGCTGCATTCAATGACATTAAATGACAAAACATAAAATCAAAAAACGAAACAAAAATCCTATTATTATCGTAAACACATGAAATGAGTGCGAGAGAGAGAGAGAGAGAGTAGAGGAATGGTATGTATGCTCAACAATACCTTCGAGACAACCCATGCAGACGGCGTTCATGAAAAGGACCCGCCCCTCAATATGGACCGGAACGGCGGACTTGTTGTGCTGTCGGGGCGACAAGAAGAAGGTGCCGTCGATGAGGGGATACCTATCGAAGATCATCATCGTTCCCGAGCAGATGACACACGCCGTGCGGTTCATCTTATTGGCCGATAGGGTGGACAGTATGAAACACCGGGTCTCGTCGTTGCCGTGATTGCCGTCGTCCTCCATCTTAATGTGATATGAGTTGATCTTATGTCGGGGGAGGGTATTGAAGGACGAGTAGTCGGCCCGACGAGAGAATATGGATCCCGAGGAGTGGCGCTCGCGTTTGGTCGTGTCCGAGAAGAAGAGTTTGCGGAAATTAGGTGACGCCGAGTCGCCCGCGTTGCTCATGGGAGGGGACGTGCCGTCCGACGAGCCCCCGGAGCCGGTCGACGACATGGAGAACGAGCGCATACGTGAGCTCTGAATCATTTGGATGGCGTTCGTCGTACCGATGCTATTGTTATTCAGATTACTATTATTGTTGTTGTTGTTAGCGATCGAGTTGTTGTTAATCGAGACCAGAGTGGCGCCGCTTTTGGCGCTACCATTAGTGCCGTTCACGACAGGGCTACTGATATTAACGGTCGGCTTGTCGTTGTTTCGCTTCTTCCGATTCCGGCGCTTCTTATTCTCCTCGACCGGCGAGGGAACGGCAGGTGGGGTCCAATCCAAGTCCTTCTTCAGGTGACCCCTTCCGCACTTACAGCCGCAGGCCTTCGCGTAAGAAAAGCAATGCATTGTTAGCAACAAAATTATATCAATTAATAATTAAGTGAAAAGTTTTTTTGCAGAATGAATGGTACGGAGAGAGACAGACGGAGGGATGAAATGAATTATTTTCTTAATTTAATTTCTTTCTTATCCTTCGGTTAACTAATGTTTTTTTTATGTTGAATGACGACTGACTACTCAAATGCATAAAGAAAAGTGTTATTAAGTTATTATTAAAACAACATTTGGTTTCTTAAGAGAGAGAGAGAGAGAGAGAGAGAAAGAGAGAGAGAGAGAAAATTTTCGAAAGACATTTGGTTTTTATTTAAATGACATTATCTAAGAGAGTGGTTATACATAGCGAGGAGAAAGTCAACGATTTGTAGTTTTCATTATTTCATTCATTTATAAATAATAATTATTTCACGTTTTTGTGTAACAATTATGCTTTAATGTATAGTTTTGTCTCAATTCTTGTACTCTAAGAAACCCAATGAATGAGTAAATTCTTTGACGGAATGTATAAATGAATTCTTAAGTGAGTCTCAAATTAAAGGCACCGAAGGGTAACACAAAGAATATACAAAAATATACCATTTCTTTCGACTACTTATTATTCATCAACTATTTTAAAGCTATGAATGAAAGGGCTGACACCTCTCCAGTCGTTAAGTCTAATTAAAAACTATTTTCTTTTTAGTTTAAAATAAATTTTTTTCTCAATGCTGTACATAATAAATCTGAAGAGTGAATGAAATGTAAATGATTTATACATTATTTTTGGCAAAAAAAGTGATTTAAAAATAATATATTTTTCTAAACAAACAATGGGCTCATAAAATATTATTTGAGTTTACCATTAATATGATTTTTATAAAATCAAAATATATAATAAAAACTTATAGTAAATGCGAGGAATTCTATAAAATATCTAAATATAAAATTCAAAGAATTTTTATAGCATTAAAAAATTGAAATTTATTGAAATGTTGCTATTTATAGAAGTTTTCGAAAAACTATTGCTATTCTTATCGCCATTAAATTGATAAAATATAACTCGTTTTGAATTTAGAAAAATTCTCCACAAAAGACAATTGAAAAAACATTTACCGAAAAATCAAAATTAAAATTCATTTCAATAGAGAATTATAGCAAAAAGTAATTCAACAAACAAAAAAAATCAAAAATCAATTGCAACTCACTTTATACGCCAAATCGTAGCCCTTTTTTGTCCACAGATTCTGGAGCCTCTGCTTCTCGGACCAACTGCGGGCCCGACCGGTCGACCTGAGGTACGTGAGCACGGTCTCCTCCCACTCCTCGAAGCACTTCTTGTGCATATACCGGCCCTCCCGGCAGTTGTCGTTATTGCAGTTCACTTTGACGGCGTCCGTCAGGTTGGTCATGTGCAGCAACTGACCCACAGTGCAGAGGGTGGGCGCACAGCATCGGGTGACCGACGGGTCGTGTTCCTCCAGGTACTGCTCGATGTGGCCGTTGTTGTGGTGCGGGGGCACCGGCTGCTCCTCGGCCAACACCTCGTGTCGGTTGTTATACGTGTTGTGTTTGATGTGAGGCATCGTTTTCATCTATACGTGTGTTTTGCAGTAATTGTCGACGAAATTGGTTTTCTTAATGATATTTAGTTAGCTATGGGTTTGCGATTCAATGGTGTGAAGCAATTATTTAGACGATTCAATGGTTTATGCGATGATGTAGTGAATGATAGTTTTCGTATAAAAATTTCTATTTTCTTAAGCATATGTACCAAAACTATACCAAAAATTGTTTGTTACCTTTAAATTGAAATTGATAAATATTTTAATAATAAGTTATTTATACGGTGTTTACGTAAAATTGAAACTTATAAAAATATCTTATATTTATGGTATAACTAAGAAAAAATCACTTTCTGATGAATTAATGCCAAAATACATAAATATTTTTATATAATTAATGAAATTCATATTATTTGCCAATTTTTCAATCAAAAAGTAGTATTTTTAAAGGAAAAATATT